AACGATACCTGACAAATATACATTTTTTTTTGTTTCTTTCTTGAAATGAAAAGTTAACGTTGGTTATTTTGAATGTTTCTTTAAAAACAAATTATTTTTTTAATTAAAATTTTTTACTTAAAAATATCTACTAAACGATATAAATGTATCCACAAATTACAAACCTCAACTAAACTATTAAACTACGTACCTATCCTTGAATTCGATGCTCTTCGCGATTTTATATTTACTACTCATTATATCATTCTATTTATTTATTTAAGAATATGTTTTTAAGAGAACCATTAGATGTATTGGTTTTACTATGATGCTTCTTTTCATGTTAACTTTTTTATCTGATTGTTTATAAAAAGCTTTAAAAGTTCCAAGAGCTCTTTTTTTGTTTGAAATAAATTTAATGATTTTAATAGAAAGTATRCAAATAATAATAGAACTTTAACATTGATAATTAGCTACTTAAATGTTAGTAATTGCAAAATAAATAATATTTATATATCCCAATAGGTATCTACATTTTATTATAAAATTTAGGATATTTATAGACAGCGTCACTTTGTCGAGTGTAATTTGTTAGTGGTGTTTCCAGTTTGAGTTAGTATATAATAAGACGGTAACTCCTACACACAGACATCATGATATAACAGTTTTCTTCTCAATTTTAAGAATGAATACCTATTTTTATTATAATACTAAAAATAAATTTGGCTCTTTATTTTATATCAACTTTAAACTTTTAACTTTTAACATTTAATTTTATTGTTTAACTTTAATTTCAATTCGAATCACATTACATTTATGTACCTACCTATTACTCCTTAGAATTATGGAACTTATAATATGTTAAGTATAATGTTTTAACTTAACTTATATTTTTTATGTTGTACACTTTTAAAATACAAATTTCTATTAAATKTTWAATTTTATGTTTTTATTTCTTCTACTCATATTTTTTAGGGTTTTTTTAGAAATGTGCTACCTACCAAGAGAGGCACGGCTTTGTCATGCATGTCTCTCCAAGATTGATTTTTTCCTGTATAGTAGAAACCTTCAAAATATCCAATTATTAGTAAAACATTTATTTGATCTCTTTTTTTTGGTACATATA